AAAAAAATTTTTTTTTGAATCAAAATAAAAATTGAGTTATTAATTAAATTTAATATTAAATAAAACTTTAATTTTAACTCTACATCACATGCACTTTCAAAAGGTGCTACTAGCCACTCGTGTATAGTATCACTGATGACAGAAAAGGAAGCTATATCATCTGTGAAATCATTATTTGTGAGATCAGAAAATTTAATTTCTACGTCTTCTTCTTCGGGCACTTTATTATTGGCTCAACAGTATCAAGTGCACAAAGTAATTCTGTTTCTCTTTTTCCTAAAATTTTTTTTGCACGTAGCTTTTGATTATTGACTTTTCCATGAATTTCTTTGGTGAGCAAGTTTTTTTGTTTTTTTAAAGCAAAATATAATCCACATGAATCACATGTCCTACCTAAAATAAAAAAAATCGTATGATTTAGTGCTGAAAGATTATAATTACACTTGAAAATAATTAAAACTTGCCTTTAATATCATTAAAAACTGAAGGGCAGTAATAATCATATGGTACAGAAACACCAGTTGTCATCGAGGGTTTTAAACCAATACTTAGTCTGACAAACAAATCAGAGAAGCTATCTTCTTCTTTTGTATCATCCGGGGTTAGGATTTCAAGTCGTTCGATACGATTTCTGCGCAATGGAAATAGAGGAGGCAGAAAACTGTTAGTCATAGGAAGAACATCCCTTAAACTTCTTCTCCATTCACTGCAGCAATCTTTTTTATTACATTTTACGATCTACAATCGAAAAAAGTTGATTAATATTACGTTTTTTTTTCGTTTGGATTGTTTTACATTATGTCAATTCAGACTTAAAAATTGAAAGTTTAAATGCGTGCTAACATTTGCTGATAAATATTTTATTACTTTTAGGAGGATTTTCGACTTGAGCATGAAGTGGTTCTTGTAAAATCAGTACCGAATTCGATACCGTCTCGGAGTTCGAGTTACCGCAAACAAAACGACTAGCATGGGAAACTTGTTTACTTACAGATTTCTAAAAAAAAGGCATTTTATAATAAATATAAATAATATTAACGTCAATGTAGATCATACAAAATTTATTTTAAGTTTTATTCATAGCTTAGATAACACGAAAAATTTTTTTAATGAAGATTAATCTTACTTGCCGTGTAAAGAAAAGAATCTCTTCTGCATCTTTTTTTGTTTTTTCTTGAAGAAGTTTCTTGATTTTCTTCTCCACGTTACCTGGAAATGATTTTTTGTCTTCTTTAAAACTTTTCCATAATTCGTTTACGTTTCATTGGGTTTTTTGTCCAGAAAAATTATTTGCATTACAATTTTTGTAAGCTTCATACAAATTTGTATACCAAGACATTACAAAATAAATATCTATTGCACATTAAATAAAACACTATACAGTAAACTTGATATGTTAATATTAAATAATATACTGCGCTTGTGTCATAATTAAAACAAAAAACTGTTTTTTTGTTATGCATGCGTCAATACTCGGCTATCGACTGATTTTTTCGTCGCGACTTGTCAACAAGAAAAACAAAACCCTGTTGCGTGATCAACGTATAATACGAGTAGGTTGGTAGTAGTGTCACTAGTATACACGTACAATACAGCGCCTAGCGTGGCACGACTGAGAAACTTGCAATTACGCGCTCTATTTGGAAAAATATAATAGTGCATTTAATTTTGTTTAGTTTTTGTGGCATAAAGTGATGTTACGTTACTTTCAATTAAACCCCCCCCCCGTCCCCTCACGTAACTTAATATCGCAATTTGTCATACCTCTACCCCCCCTTAATTGCGTTACGTAGTTTATGGATGGCCCCTAAGACAATTTATTTTATTTGGTGAATCAAGAAACAGTTTCTAAAAATTAACTGCATTTAAATATACTTGAAAGATCTTTAAATGAGCCAATTTTAGTAGAAATTTAGTGGGATTATTGTAGATCACCGTAGCTATGTTTTACAGACTTCGTTTCTATCTAGTACTTTCTAATACGAGCAACATTTAATATTATTAAGTTTTTTATATTAAACACTTCAAAATGGTATTTTCCTGAAAAGTTATGATATCC